AATCAACAAATAGCATGGGTTAAAATTTTGTGTTCCCTCCTGTTAATTTTTGTGTTCCCAGAACGGTCTCTCCTGTTTCTCACACTAGGTGACAAATGAAAAAGATCCTTTGATTGTAATAGTCAAAATTGACATGTTGCACAAAATTTCTACATAGTTATTACAGTAGACATGTCAATTGCGTGAAATGTTGTCTGACTGATAATGGTTTTCTGAACTGAATTTTATAATTTGTTCTGATCACGTGGTTGAATATCTTTTACTAAATAGGAAAGAACGTCCTGTGTCAAATAGTGATGTTAGCCGTTTAAAAATCCTTAGTCGGCTCTACCTAAATTGGTAATTTTTATTTCTATAATAAGAAAGTAACATGGTAATCTATTACCAAATTTAGAAAATATTTATGCAGATTATTGGCGGCAACATCACTAGTAGAGATGTTAATCAGTCCTAAACAGTTCAGGACAGTCCTGGGACTGGCAGTCCTATCTTGGGACTGGACTGGACTGAACTTAAGTCCTGAAAAAGTCCCAAGTTTTTTTTAAAATATTATTATTGAAACTAAAAAAACTTATTATTTTATTATTATAAAAAATATATATATACACACAAAAAACAAACAAAATAAAAAAACAAAAATTAAATTGAAACAATTTCTGCTTCAATCCAGCTCTTTACACATAGACTTGCTTGTGCTTTTTCTGAATCCAACCTATTTCGAATTGGATTTAATGTATGTTTGGCAATGCTAAAAACATTTGCTCACTTGACACACTTGTGGCTTGTATTGAAAAAAATCTTTTGCCATATGTGACAGAGTTATATAATTAGGATCTTTTATTCTTGATGCATACCAATCCAAACATTCAATTTCTTCTGGTGGTGCATCAAAGTACCTTCTAATAATAATTATTTGCTTTGGACTCTTTTTTCAAACCTTATTGTGTCATACTGAATTTTTGAGGTTCAAACAAAATCAGCACATAAGGTTATACAGGAACCTTTTAGGACTTTAAGTCCCAAATGGCAGGACTGGACCTGAAAAAGTCCAGTCCAGACTGTTCAGGACCCGGTCCCAAAAGGACTGATTAACATCCCTAATCACTAGTGTCAAATTTCATTTTTGATGGTAAAATTGTGCAACTTCAAACCACTAAGGCTTTTTTTTTATTAATAAAATTGAAAATAACTTTCTATTTCATTGTTGCTTAGGTTCTAAATATTGCAAAAATAGAGTTTTTTTAATTTTTTTAATTAAAAAAAAAGTTTGAAGTTTACAATTTTTTTGATAACTGATAAATTAATAGAAATTTCTTTTTATAATTCATGTTTTCAAAAAAAAACATGCTCTTGATTGAATCTTGTTGTCAACATTTACATGTGTTGAAATATATGATAAAGATACTAAAAAATCCGCACATAATAATTTTAACATATGTTTGATGATCAACAGCCACTGAACACCACAATAATTCTTGAGGCAAAAAGTAATATATTTATTTTATAACATAGTTTTGATTGATTTAGTAGCAATTTTAACAAGAAGTGGAATTTTCCTATCTTTTGACTTGAATGTTTCATTTGTTACTTGTTGTGTAAACTTATTTATATTTTTTAATTCCTAAAATATTAATTAGATATAATTAATTAATTAATTAATTAAAATATAATGATTAAAATGATTAAAATGATAAATTACTTTATGTAATAAATTTTGAAGATTTTTATTAGAAGTAATTAATATATTTTGTAATTCTAAATCTCTCTTAATTGATCTATAACCATAATTTGAAGATCCAATTAGAGTCAAAGAAGGATATTTATTATTATTGAAATAATACCATAACCCTTTTTTTTAAAAAAATAATAATAGTAGTAGTAATTAGAAAACAATGTAGTAGCAGTGATAAAAATGGCTCCAATTTGAAATAATATTTACCTTTGGCATGAAAAGTCCAGTTTTCTCTTTTATATTCATACATTTTAATTAAATTATTTTTATTAAATTTATTTATTTCATCAATAAAACATTTTTCTAAAAATAAATAAGATTTTGGCAAATATTTAGAAAAACCTTTTGAGTGGAAAAATCCATTTGCCTAAAAACAAAGTTAATCATAAGGATTAATATTAGAGCTAGCATCAGAAATATTATTATTATTAATATTTACCTCAGGTGATGAAGTGATTAAATTAATTAGTAAAGAATTATTATTATTATGATTTATTATTATTTCTTTGTAATTTTTACTTATATTAAAATATCCAGTACTTAAATATAATTTATCATTATTGTTGACATTAATATTGTTATTTATGATAATATTTAATAATTTATTTGTTATTATTTCATCTTGATTGATATTTAATTGATTCATTTGAATAATTGGAGAAATAATTGTATCATATGATGATAACATATCACTACTACTACTACTCATACTACTATAATAATTATTTGTTTTTTTAACCCATTTATTAATAAAATTATTTATCAATAAATATGATTTATTTCTAAATGATTTTTTATTATAAATAGGATCAGGAAAACTGTTATCATCATTACTAGTAATAATTCCACTACTATTAGTGCTATTATTAATTAATTTTAAATTATATGAAAATATTGAAATTGTGTTTAATAAATCTATGAAATATTCTATTATTAATGACTTGCTGTTGCTGCTGTTACTATTATTATTACCATTACCACTAGTATTATTATCAGTAATTAATAAATATCTGTCTTGTCTATTAATAAAATAATCTTTATTAAGATTAGCACCACTCAGAATAATATTATCATCAAATATAAATAATTTAATATGCATTAACCCAATTCCCTCATTAAATCTCGTTGGTAATATTAGTTTTGATAGATGATTTAAATTTGGTGTATGATATAAATTGACTGTTATTCTGTCTGGAAATTCTTTAATCAAATCCAACAAAATATCAATTGAACTATTAGCATTACTACTACTACTATTATTATTGATACTAGTGTTGTAATTAATTAAGGAATAGTATTGATTAATGTCATTTGATTTACTCTGTCTTGTAGATCTTAAATAGTCAAGTAATATATATACTTTTAATCCAGTTGATTTTATCAATGATTTTCTTATTAAATCTATCTAAAAAATAATGAATAGATTTTTACAATAACATAAATATAAAAATATCTAAATATCAATATACATGTTTACAATAAACTCTTACCAATTCTATCTCATTTGATCCAATATATAATGCTGATAAATAAATAATGTTTTTAGCAGATAAAATATTAATCTAAATAAAGGATATTAATATATAAATTATCATTATTATAAAAATTCATTATTTAAATCTATTTCATCCTTACTTTTAATTTTTCATAAAATTCTTTTGGACTATTTAATGGTTTGATATCATCTCCATTTAACAAAAAATATGGTATATTGTTATTATTGTAATTGTAATTGTAATTGCCACGATTTTTTTCTTCTTTCAATCTACCTCCCTCTTCTTCTTTATAATTGAAAAATAATTCATTGAATTTATTGAATTGATTCTTATTTAAAAATTCTTTTAAATAATAATTATTATTGTTATGTTGATTTTTCTGAAATATTGAATACATTTTTTTCGGTTAAAAAATTTATTAATCTTATTACGCCATTGATAACGTATGAAAAAACGTCATGTATGATCGACGGAATTAAAAAAAACTATTTATAGCCGTTGTTTTGATCTCTGAAGTTTTTTTTTTTTTAAATTATAAAAATGTCTGAAAAAGAAAAAGAAATCGGTACTTATATATATTAATATTATGATTAATTGATTTATAATTATAATAAAAAAAAATTCTTTTGTAGAATTACTTGAAAATGTCGAACTACGTTTTGCTCTTGTTGATTCAGATCAACAATTAGAAAAATTAATAAACCTTTTTTTAACACCTGTTCTTTTAAAACTACAAAGTCCTCATGAAGTTGTTAGAACAAAAGTAATTTTTAATTTTCAAATTTTTAATTTAAATTGGTTTTTAATTAAATTGTTCTGTTTCAATTAGAATTTTATTTGTTTATTAGGTTATGAGTGTTCTTGGTCATATAAATAAACGCATCAAATCAAAATCAAACATTAAACTTCCTTTAAATACTTTGATAAATATTGTTTGTACCGAAAATGTAACAAATTCAAATTTCGTTAAAAATTTTGCCATAATGTATTTAGAAATGGCATATGAAAGAATTACTGAAGAGGTATGATGACCTTTAATAAAATAAATAAATAAATAATTTAATTAGTTAATTAATTAAAGGAGGTAATGTTAGGATGTAACATATATCCTGGACATGTTATATAATATTAAATCAATTTTATTTTATTTTAATATCATCAAAATCAATCAAACAATCAACTAACTAACTAATCAACCAAACGATCAATTAAAATCAATTGATTAATTAATCGTTAAAGGAACAAATTGATAATCTTCTCAGTTTAATCAAAAACATTTCTTCGAAACCAGCCTCTCAAAAACAAGCATTGATTCATATTATTTTACCGGTAAATTTATTATCTTTATATGTGTGTATATGTGTGTGCATATACATATAAACACTTATGCTTAAATTCAAATCGATTTTTTCTTAGGTTTTAACAAAATATAAGCCAAAGGGAGCAGAATCTCCATCATCTTTAGATCCTTATAATTTCCAATCAAATTCTGACGATGCTAGATTTCTCTTAGACTCATTTCTTAATGTATTGCTGTATCATCCAGAATTACAAGCAAGGCAAAAATCATTGTTTCAACAATCTCAAGAACAGAATTCTGGGTACATAAAATAATCATTAATCATATTGAATACATTTTATTTATTTATCACAATAATAATAATAATAACAATAATAATAATAAAAGACAACAAGAAGGATCTCAGGACTCTTCTCAGCAAGCGGTGCAAATACCATCCGGTCTTAGTCCAGCTTCTGTGAAATTTGTCACTAATGATTCAAAAGCACAATGGGCATTGAAAATCGCAGATTTAAAACTTATAAAAGTACATTATCAATTTGATCGATAATTAGTAATTTATCAGCAATCAGTCATTTAATGATTTATTCACATCAATCACATATACTTTTATTTTTCTCGATACATTAGATAGGGATTCTTCAATTTGTGAATTCTTATGTGGTTTGGCCAGACTCTTTGCCGAATGATATCCATTTTTTAAGATTTTTGGTCTTATTGGTAGCAAGTTGTGATTCTTCACATGAAGTTGTTAGTGGTGGTGAAGATGGTTTGAAAAAATTGAAAAAAATTGATTTGGAATCTAAAAAGGTATTATTATTATTTAATAAGATTAGTGATAGCAACATTAAAGGTTATAATATTAATTATAATAATAGGTGGTTGATGGACTTTTTTCGTTGTATCAAGGCAGCAACTTGGGAAAGTCAACAAATACAGGTATGTAATTATTTTTTTATTTAAAAAATATTTTAATTGATATTTTTAATCTTATTGTTAATACTATGCAAACACTATTGTTAATACTAATAATATAATTATTATTAGCTCAACAAGATCTTATTCGTCAACCTGCTTCAGCAACTCTTAAATATAAAATAATGAACCATTTATGTAAATCTAGCTTGGCAACAAATACATTTCCTGCTATGTTACAAGTTTCATTTGATTGTCTCTATGGTTGCTAATAATAATAATTATAATAACAATAATAATAATTATCATATCATTATTAGCATTTATATATTTATTTATTAAAAATAAAAATTTATTTATAAAGGTCCTACTACAAACTCAAAATTACAGAATCAAGGGATGTATTTTGTTCAGTGGGTTGCAAGAATGGTTGGTGTTTGCTCTCATTAATGCTATTAATAATTCACATTTTTTATAGAATATTTATTATATATTTTTTAGGCTGATGCTTCGAAATTAAGACCAATTGCGCTTGTGCTTTTATCTGGTTTATTAAAATTTATTAAGGAATTAGATGGTCCAGGCATGAATTGTTTCCTTTATAAAAAAAGTATATTTATCTTATTATTATCATTAAATTTACCAGATTATGTTTATTGCAGATAAAGAAACATTAAGAGGGTTTGCCTATGTGGCTGTTAGTTTGCTAGCAAAAAGAGGTAATAATTTATATTTGTTCCTAAGTAGTAATTTAAAAAACATTTTTGTTAAAAAATATAAATCTTAATCAATATTAATTTAAATATACATACACATTAATTAATAGTTCCTGAACTTTTCCGTAAAGATTTATCAATCCTCCAATCATTTTTTGCTGCATTATCAACTGAAAGCAAAAATGTCAAAATTTCTGTTCAAGAAGCTTTGTCTAATATGGTAGAGGCATTTAAAGACGTAGAAACTTGGGCAGATACTGATTCTATTAAAATGATCGAAAAGATTTTAGAAGAAAATGTTGAAAAGGTATTTTTTTTTAATATTGGCTTATTATTTTCCTTTTTTTTTAAATCATTTCTATCTTTAATAGATATATTAATTTTAATTTCAATATTAACAATAGCCTGAACATCAAGCTAGATACTGTGCAATTAAATATTCTATAAACCTTTTTCCATTTGATCATATTTTATCAAGATATTTATGTTTACTTGCATCTTCAGATGAAAAGTTGGAGGTTAAAGAAATGGCATCAAATGGATTATCATTCCCTGATCCAAGGTCACCTAAACTTTATCCAAACGAGCCTGAAAAAGAAATAAAAATTCCTTCATTTAACGATTTGGTTAATTTGATTTATTCAAAATCTAAGCAAAGATCCATTAATTTAATTGAAGTTTTACAAACGACTAGATCATTTGGAAAAAAATATATTTTAGGTTATCGTACCGATGTCTACATGAATATCTTAAAATTTTTGCGAAATTTGATAATAGCTAGTGCTGACCCAACTTCAATAATTGATGAATTATCATTTGAACTTGGTGGTGGTGAAACCACATTAATCAATCCGAACACTAGAAATTTAGTAAAGGAATGGATATATCACCAATGGATCAAAGATCAGAAATCATCAGAAAATATGGACATTGATAATTCACAAGCGTCTGGTAGTTTAAATATTTATTTGGAATTAGTTGAAAAAGGATTGGATAATGAGGGTATTATAGGTAAGTAAAAGCAAAACAAAACATTTATATTTATATTATATTAATTATTCCTTTAGACTCATTGTTACAGTCTACTGCTGCATCATGCCTTTTGGAGCTTATTTCACTTGGTCCATCATCATTATCTAGTTCATATGTGAATCGTATTAAATGGTTAAAGGTATTAATAAAATAGTTATTAGTTATTTTCATTAATTATTTTAAATTTTTACTCAAGCAATATATATAATTTTTATAGACATTCATGAGTGTGATTAAACTTGAAGTGCGTAATGCAATGGCTCATGTTTTGGGTATTGTTAGTACTAGTGAGCTTGAACAATATCCTGAAAGATGTCAAGCCATTGGTGAATTAATTAAAGAATTTTTAAACACTGCAAAAGATCAGTCGCGACAAGTAAATCAACACATTACTATTTTATATAATTTTTAGTATTCACTATTTTAATGATTCTTTTCTTCGATATATGCTTTTTTTTAGATATCTAGTGAATATCATCATGGGTGTATTATTGCTTTAGGATATATTATTGGGCGATTATCTTATCGTTATCAATCAAATTTAAGTTCAATTGTTCCACTAACTTTAATATTAGAATGTTTAGATTTTATTTATCAAGATCTCGATTCATCCAAGCAGTTGTGGTTAATTGGCGCATCGTTAGCATTAGGCGAGGCCTGTAGATATTTTCATTCGACATCTTTTGACAACAACTCCATCATAGATAAAGGTAAAAGTAAGCTCGAAGAAGGTCCTGAGCGGATTTTTGAAAAGATTATTGATAAATTGATCAAACTTGTTAAAAATACTAAAGATGTAAAGGTAAATAAAAATACTAATAATTTTTTTCGCTAGGGATGGGTGTGTATATAAAATTTATTGTTAATGTATCTTACTTTGTTGGCTATTTAGTTTCAAGAAGCAGCCATTATGGCTCTTGGATATATTGTTTTTGGAAATAAAATTTATACAGAAAAAGTGTTATCACTTTATTATGATTTAGCCTATTCACTAAATAAACAAGTTGAAGTTCATTTTACAATTGGTGAATCTATTACTTGTATTGCAGCGGGTTGGGAAAGTATTGTAATGGAAAAACATTTGGATATTGCTGACGTCTTGACACCAAAAATTGTCATTGAGCCTGATGTCATGCAAAATATATTAAATAAATTATTCAATGAACTGCTACCTACCGGGAAAGCCTCTGTTAAGAAAGCTATATGTGTTTGGATGCTATGTTTAGTTAAATTTTGCTCAAGTCATGAAGTTGTCAAGGTATTTTATATTTTAATATTTTAGTTTAATTGAATTAATGCAAAATAAATACGTGAATAAAATAAACACATTTGTTTATAAATTACAAATTGATTAGAGCTCCTTGCCTAAAATTCACGGAATGTTTTCACTTTTGTTAGCTGATCGAGATGGTAATTATTTAATTTATTTATTACAAATATTAACTTATTTAATTTGATGCAAATCCTTATTTATTATTTTATAGAATTTACTCAAGAAGTTGCATCGAAAGGTATTGGACTTGTATATGAATTAGGCGATAAAAAAGTGAAAGAGCAGCTCGTGGATTCACTTGTTGGAATGTTTGGTGGCAAAAGACCTAAGGAAACAATTGAAAATGACACACAATTGTTTGATGCAAATATTCTCGGTCAAACACCTGACGGATCAACAATCACGACATATCAATCAATTCTTTCCTTAGCATCTGATATGAACCAACCGGAACTAGTTTACAAATTTATGCAATTGGCTAGTCATAATGCCATGTGGCAATCACGTAAAGGAGCAGCATTTGGATTCTCGAATATTATTTCACAGGCTGAGAAAGAACTGGAACCATACTTAAAAGATTTAGTCCCAAAACTTTACAGATACCAATATGATCCAAATCCTAGAGTCAATGAAACTATGACAAGTATTTGGAAAGTTTTGGTTAAGGATCCAAAAAAAGCTACAGACGATTATTTTGATATAATTATTAAAGATTTGTTGAAGGGCCTTGGTGATAGATTATGGAGAACAAGAGAATCTAGGTAAAAAAAAATAAATATTCATATATTCCTAATAAATAACTAGTGGATTAAAATAATATTATTTATCTAGTGCCAATGCTTTAACGGATCTATTGCAAGGTCGTCAAATTCAACAAATTGAACCATATTTAAAAGATTTATGGACTATGTGTTTTAGAGCTTTAGATGACATCAAGGTTATTATTGTATATTATCAAAACCATTATGTACGAATCTAATTAATTTGTTATAATTATCACCACTTAATTATAATAACAGGAAAGTGTAAGGATAGCAGCATTTAAAACATGTCGTTCTTTAACCAAGGTTACAGTAAAGTATTGTGATCCAGACAATGTATCAACTGCCGAAGGACAAAAAATAATGGATATCATCATGCCATTCCTATTGACAAAAGGATTGGTGTCTGATGCTGAAGATGTTAGAACGTTTTCATTAAAGACAATATTAAAAATTTGTAAAACTGCAAAAACTTTATTAAAATCCCATATAACTGAAATAGTTGAAAATTTATTAGAAGGATTATCTAGTATGGAGCCTCAAATTATGAGTATGTGATTGTCAATGTTGTTGCATAGAATCCTTTTCTTTATTAATATAAATATAGAATTATTAACAATACCAATGTTATTATTGATAGATTACCTTAGTTTTCATATTGAAAAATATGATGTTTCACAAGAACAGGTATCTTTCTTATTCAAATTCTATATTTAATTTAATAAAATTTTAGAAAATTTTAACTTATTTAAATTTATCTTTTTTTCAAAAAAAAAAAAAGCTTGAAAATAAGAGATTATCTGCTACTAAGGTATCTCCAATGATGGAGGGGATTGAATCATGTATAGATTATATAGATGAAAAGGTTTTAGAGACGTTAATTCCCAAATTATTACAATTGATTAGAAAAGGCGTTGGATTACCAACTAAGGTATTTATTGGCTTCGAATTATACCATCATCATTATCATCATTATCATCATCATCCATTATTCTAGATGACTAAACTCAATCAATCTAATCAACAAATTTTGTTTTATTAGGCTGGTTGTTCAAAATTTGTAGTTTCAATGTGTCTAAAACAAGCACAAATTCTCAGACAACATGCAGACGCCATTATGAGAGCGTTAAGCGGCGCAATCTTAGATCCATCATCTACAGTCAGAAAATCTTATGCTGTGGCAGTTGGTTATTTAGCACATTTAACTACTGATAGTACTTTGATCAAATATATTGAACACGTCAAAAAATTTTATATTGAAAATAGTGGTATGTCATTATTTTTATAGTTGCCGTCTAATTAATATTATGAATATTGATTTCCCTTTTTTTTGGTGAAAAAATAGAGGATTCAAATAGATCCATTACGGCTATTTCAATACTTGAAATGTCAAGACATGCTTCAGATGAATTAAAAAGAATTTATGTCGAAGTCTTACCTTTAACATATTACGGTATGCATGATTCTGATAATAATATTAAGAAAATTTGGGTTGACATATGGGAAGAAAATACAGCAGGTAATTAAAGTTATTTTATTTTTAATATTGTATATGCTAATTAACATTAATTGATTGATTGGTTTGATTTATTAAATGTGTCAGGTTCTACTGGTGCAGTTAAATTATATTTAAAAGAAATCATTGAACTCCTAACAGTACTATTGGAATCACCATCATGGTCAACTAAAAGACAAGCTGCATTAACTATTGCTGATGTAGCCAAAACCATAGGTAGTACTCTAATAATCAAAAGTTTATATGTATACGTGTGTGTGTTTGTTTGTTTACATAAATTTGATATTTTGTTTAGAACAAAGTTTGTTGATATATATGGATAAAGTACTTCCATTATTAATAACTGGATTATCGGGTAGAACTTGGGTAGGCAAAGAAGCATTAGTTGAAGCATTAACTACAGCTTCCGTTTCGTGTAAAGAATATTTTAAAAATAATGAAAATCTTCCCAAGTTAAATGAAATTGCTAAAGTGAGTAATAGTGACATGATATAACATCTTAACATATATATTTATATATGTGTATTAGTTCAAATATTTACAATTTTATATTAATATAAATGTATATTGTATATAGGTGCTTATTCGTGAAAGTAAAAAGAACAATAAGGAATATAAAAGACATTGTATTTCATTATTAGGGAAATTTTCCTTTTGTTTTACTGATACAATTGATTTATATCCCGAAGTTAAAGATTTTTTGATTGAGTTGATGACTGGTGAATTAGATCCAGATGAAATGGATGTGGATGATACAAAAGAAAAACCATTATTTTTTTTGATAAAAGCAAATTCTGCTCTATGTATTGGTATGGCCTGGTCTAGCAAAAGAGATATCCAAGGTAAATTTTTTCATATAAATTTATTATTATTATTATTATAAAATTAAAAATTAATTTTTATATCCATTTTTTTTTTTAAAAGTAAAATATTCAAAAGAATTAGGCACATCATTAGGAAACTCGTTATTATCAGGAAAAAACGTATGGAACGTAAGACTTAACTTATTAGAGTCGCTTGAAAAATATATTGATAGGCTGGATATTAAATCAATGGAAATTGATGAAAACGATAAGATTGAAAAAATATTGGACGAAGAGACTTTAATTAGCATTTTTAAAGGTTTGAAGGACAGTTTATCAGACCTTAAATATGTTGCAATACGTACAAAAAGTCTAGAGGTTTTGAAAAAAATATTAGAAAGAATTAAGGGTAAGTTGAAATACGTAAATTTTCTTTAAAAAGTAACATTTATTTTCTCTTTTAATAATTTTTTTTATTTATTTTAGAAACATCTTTAATAAATTCATTAAATATTAAAAATGAATTAAAAGAATTGATTTTAATCGTCGAAAAAGATCCTCAACCAAGTATTTCAGAATTAGCTAAAGATTTAAAGAAAATTATTTAATTTTAAGTTTTTAATAAATACTTGCCTTTTGCATCTCTTGGTTGATCTTTATATGATCCTTTTCTTTTAGGAATAGACGGCATTTTTGTTTATCTTTAATAATTAATATATATAAAACAAATTTACGTGTAATATTACTTATTAATCAACGTGTTTCATAAAAAAAATATTCATTTATTATTATTATTTATCATTTGGCTAGAAATATTTCACGTGATAAAATGATCAACAAAAGGGGTAATGAATGATCATTTGAAAATTTAATATTAATAAAATTGACTTTTTAAACACCATCAGCTCCCAAAAAATTAAGCAATTAAAAAAATTTAAACCATGGAATCGAAAGAGAATCACTTAAACTAATTATTTGCACGTTTATTTCAAAAAATTTTAAAATTAGATTATGAGTATAGGTGGTACTCACCATAATGATTTTATATATTATTATTCATTGGTGTGTCAAAAATTTTTTTGATTAAATTATTTCTAAACTAAATTTGGCTATAATTTTGTATATAGTTGCAAGGATGCCCATTTTTTTATAATTTGTGATCCATCAGTGAATGAAAGGATCTACATAGTAAATTAGTATTAGTGTCCATATTATATGGAAAAGTGCCCGATTGTATAAAATCAAACATTATTTTTTCCAAAAAAAAATAAAAAATAAAATGTCTACACCAAAAGATAGAATTACGTTAGTGACTAATCATTTGAAATCAAGCTCATCCTTACCTCGCTTGCATGGAAAAGTTTGTATTATCACTGGTGCAGGTTCTGAAAGGGGCATTGGGTAAATTAAGTTTGACCAATAAAATTGAATTTTAGAAAATTATTCAATAATTTTGAAGTCATAAAGACATAATAACCTTTTTATTAAAGGATAGCAACAGCTTGGTTATTTGCTAAAAATGGTAATTAATCATATAAAAGATCATTAAATTTTAATAATATCATTTTTATTTCCACTTAATATATAATTAAATTAATCTTTATTAATAATAATAAAAAGGTGCTAAAGCAATCTATTTAATAGATTATTGTGATGAATTCTTGCCAAAATTAGCCAAAGACATTGAAGAAACATATGGTAAAGTGACAACAGTGGTTGCACGTAAACTTGATGCTGCAGATGAACAATCCGTAATTTCAATAGTGAATGATGCTATTGAAAGATTTGGAAGATTAGATGTGTTTTTTGCTAATGCTGGTGAGTTAATTATTCATATTTAAATTTGTATAAATTTAATAATACATTTATTGATTTATTTATTTTTAATGTAATAATAAAGGTATTGGTACATCATCTCAAAAACTTGAATCTTCTCGGTTTTTAGAAGTTATGAGGGTAAATTTTTTTAATATTATTTTTTATACATTTTTTTTTTTTAATTTCTAATTATTGTTTTAAAAAATAATTTTAGGTAAATACACTTAGGTATCTATATATATACACATACATACACACTCATATATATATTGATGGATCAGTATTTTTATTTAGTGTATTCCTTGCAATAAAATTTGCATCAGAAGCAATGAAAAAAACAGGAAATGACAAAAAATCTTCTTCAGGATCTATTATTACAACATCATCTGGTTAGTTAATAGAGAAGGCAACTTTAAAAGTTCAATAAGTTACTCAGCTTACATGCTATTTAAAATTTTTTTTTAGTTGCTGGATTAAGATTTGGTGCTGGTCCAATGGATTATTCGGCTTCAAAAGCAGCGTAATTAATCACTTTTAATGCATATATATAAAAACTCTGCAAGAACATTTTTAATTTTTAATACATAAATTTAATTAATTAAATTAACAGTGTAATCAGTCTAACTCAAGCAGGAGCATGTGAATTAGCTGGTACAAATATACGTGTTAATTCTATATGTCCAGTATGTAGTCTCAGTTTTATATTGTTAATTCTTTTGAATAAAAATCAAAAAATTTAATCATTTTCTAGGGTTTAATTGAAACAAATATGTCAAAACCAATATTTGATGTTGCTCGTAAACGAGGTACAATCAACAAGGTTGGTCAATTGAACCCTCTACGAAGATATGGTCATTCTGAAGAGGTATTGTCTATTTATTCATCCATCCATTGACCAATCAATTTGTTACTAATACTTATCAACCAATGTAAATAAATATCCATATTTAGATTGCAAATGTTGCACTTTTTTTGGCAAGTGATGAAAGTTCTTATATTAATGGACAAGCTATACCTGTTTGTGGTGGATTATCAGCCTCATTACCTGTTGTAATGCGTTAAATCAAATATGCAAATAGCTTATCTATCAATCCCCAAAAATGATAAATAATATTTATAATAAAATTTTTGGACAAAGTAATATTAAATCTGTCTATATTAATATATTAAATATATTAAATACAGTCTAAATCAATAATTTTTTAAAAACGCATTCCTAAAATATTAGGATTTAAAGCAATCCTTTCAACTTTGGCATTTCTAAGATGATACACTTTCTTATTTCTCTAAAATCTATTATTTGTTCTGATAATTCATCTGATTGTTGTACCTCCAACTTAAGTTTTGTCAGAAGAAGAGGCAGTGAAAATCTCTTGAATATGATAATAATGGAAATATTAATAATGATGATAATAATAATAACGGGGGTATTATTAATAATACAAGTCCCGTCATAATGACATTCGTAATTATTATATTGGCACTTTTTAAAAAATCAAATTTATGAATATAAAATTTACTACAATTGAATTCATTCTGTTATAATGACACTCGTTATAACAACATGTCGGTATAATAATAATAATACATTATGCAAAAACTCAATTTTGGTCAGGGGTTCTAGACTCCTATATTACTGGTAGACGCCGCAGGGCTGAAATAGTAGTTTAAAAATTCGGATTTTCCCTTTAATATTAAAAATTTTAACTTCTGGTAAACCGAATTTATTATTATATTAATATTAACATTAATATGAAAAATCCGTTAAATCCGTTAAACCGAGATAAAATTGTTATAGAAAAATTTGGTTTTGAAAATTTATCCGCTAAAACCCAAATCCGCTATACCGAGACTCACTGTGTATATATATTCGTCAATTCCAAAACTGTTCACGATAATAAATTTTATTTTTTCGAATTGCAATGTTGTTGGAGAAAGAAATATTGTTGCATCTCAGTTTAAAACTTGTTATATTAAAAAACACAAGTCTAGTCAGGTGACCTCGGAAATGGTTTTCAATTTAGATTGAACATTTTGATAAATAAATATATAATTATAAAATATTTTTTCAAATAAAACAAGGTCTTTTAAATAAATAAATATAATGGTGGTGTGATTATGATAAAATATATTCTTTTTTTCTTTTTTGATGATACTTGTAATTCATTATCATCATCATCATTGTTTCTTCTTTGTTTTATCCATCATATTCTGTTTTTTGTTGGTGTTGTTGTTGGTGTAGTTGCTGTAGTTGCTCATGTCTTTTTTGTTGTCTTTTATGTTGACGATATTCAGCCTCTCTTTCTTCTTGTTAAAATATCTGTTTTTACTTGATTGGCATCAAAATTAGTGTTCCATGTCGCAATACAAAAAAGAAAACAAAATGGCCGTAAAGACGGTTGCAACCAGTGATTGCAATCATTTTTATATGACGCGAAGGTGGTAGCAACCATCATCAAAAGTTGCAGCCGGTATCCTTAATCAAAATAAGGTAATGAGCACACTTGATCCTATTTTGGATTTGAACATTATAAAAAAATCACCAGTTGACCATTCTTTGCAAAAAAAAAAAATCAAATTACAAATCCTTTAATAATCATTGTTAGCTAACTTATTTTGTTTAAAACAAAGTCAATAAATATTTACAATATTTTCACCCAATAATAACGTTTTAAAAATTGTTTACATTCAACAATGAACTTTTTATGGGTTGTTATTTGAGCTCTTTTTTGGTTTCTTGTTTCACTATAAGACTTGCAAATCAAAAAAATAGATGAAACATAGAGTCAAGACAAAAAATAAATAAAACCAACTCACATCCAGAAGGATCTCAAGCAATTATTTGAATCAGACTCAAAATTTTCCAGAAAAGAATTGCTCTGTAAAAAATTTCTAAAAATTAAAAACAAAGCCTAGAAGAAAGAAAGAAAACGGAGGATGAGGGTGATATAGAGAATGAAGAAGATACTAATATTAGCAAAAGCAATAATAGTACAGTATAAAAGCCTTGTTTCAACGGATTACAATTAAATTCGCGTTTTAAAAATCTTTAATAAAAAAATTATTTTTGGATAAAAAAATTTTTTATTTTTGAATAATATTTTTGATGACCTGCAGTATTTTATTAATATAAAAAGAAATTAATTCGAAAAAAAAAATCATGTTCTTTTATTGCAAGTTTTTTTATCATTTTATTTTGATTCAGAGGAAATTATTTTGCATTCATATCTTTTTTCCAAAAGAAAAAAACCTTTTTTTTTAAATGGTAAAAACGTTATTTGCTTATTGAAAAAATCTGGTGATTTTTATTTAAATAATAAAGTTCGTACGATGACT